TTTTTTTTTTTTTTTGTAGCAGGGATTAAACTCAGGGGCATGAAACCACTCAGTTACATCCCCAGCCCTTTTCATATTTTATTTAGAGACAGGGTTCAGCTAAGTTGTTTAGGGCCTCTCTAAGTTGCTGAGGCTGGCTTTGAATTTGGCAACCCCCCTGTCAGCCTCCCAAACTGCTGGGATTACAGGCACATGCCACAGCACCCAACTTGAAATCTCTCTTTTTTWAAATTTTTTTTAGTTATACATGGACATAATATCTTTATTTTGTTTATTTATTTTTATGTGGTGCTGAGGTTCGAACCCAGGGCCTCAATGTAGGGGGCATGTGCTCTGCCACTGAACCACAGCCCCAGCCCCAAATCTTTTTTGATGGTAAGTTTTGGCAGGAAATATAAAAAGGCAGAAGAGAAGCTCCTCCTAATTGGAGAATATCTCTTAAATTTTGCTTCAGAAATGTGAATGAAATGTATGTTATTCGTTTTCTAATGCATTAAATAATAACTATTCAATTCAAATACCTCCAAGCCCTCAAGGCAGTGTGTCCTTGTTTTTGTTTTTTGGAGTTTCATTAAGAAAAACCTGTTTTCAAAGCTACATTTCATTCTGACTTGAGTGAGATGAAATCTTAGTGTAGTTTTAATTTGCAGTTCTTTAATTGTTAGAGATGTTGAACATTTTTTCATGTATTTGTTCATCATTCATATTTCTTCTTTGGAGAAGGATCTGTTCAGTTCCTTTGCCCATTTATTGACTAGGTTATTTGTGGGGTTTTTGACGTTAAGCTTTTTGAGTTCTTTGTATATCCTGGAAATTCGTTCCCTATTTGAGGTGCAGGTGGAAAAGATTACATTTCTAGCAATTAGAGAAATGCAAATTAAAACCACACTGAGATTTTATCTCACTCCAGTCAGAATGACAACCATCAAGAATATAAGTAACAACAAATGTTGGTGAGGATGTAGGAAAAAGGCACACTCATACATGCTGGTGGTACTGCAAATTGGTGCAACCACTCTGGAAAGCAGTATGGAGATTCCTCAGAAAATCTGATATAGAATTAACATTTGACCCAAGTTATCTCACTCCTCAGTATATATCTAAAGGACTTAAAATCAGCATATTAATGACCAATATAATTCTGCAACATGTACACTCAGAAAAATGAGAAATTATATTTCATCTATGTCTGATATATCAAAGTGCATAATTGCATTATACTGTCATTTATGACTAATTAAAACAAATAAATTTTTTTWAAAAATCAGCATACTACAGTGACATGGCCACATGTCTTACTGCAGCTCAATTCACAATAGCTAAGCTATGAAACCAACCAAGATACCCATCAACACATGAATGGATAAAGAAATTGTGGTATATATATACAATGGAATATTACTCAGACATAAAGAGTGACTTYATGACATTTTCTAGTAAATGGATRGATCTAGAGACCATAATGCTAAGTGAAATAAGCCAATCTCCCAAAAAACAAAGATCAAATGTTCTCTCTGATAAGTGGATGCTAACACACAACAAGGGGGAGGGGAAGAATATAAGTTCAGTAGATTAGACAAAGGGGAACAAAAGGGAGAGAAGGGGGATAGGAACAGGAAACAGTAGAATAAATCTAACATAATTTTCCTGTGTACATGTGTAWAAAAATACCTAAGTGAATCCACCATCTACCCACTCATAGGAATGGGGTCCTAGTATAAGACATATTTCATGCTTATATAATTTTATCAAAATGGATTCTACTGCCATGTATAACTAACAAGAACCAAGAACAACAAAAAACTACATTTCTGAATACACATTAAGATATTTTTAAATTCCCTTTCACTTCTAAATTGCATGGTTCTCTAAAAGTCACTTTGTCTTTTTGGAATGTGAGTGGAACCGACTTAAAAAATCAAAGCTGGGGGCTGGGCTACAGCTCAGTTGTAAAGCACTTGCCTAGCATGTGTGAGGCCCTGGGTTCAATCCTCAGCACCATATAAAAATAAATAAATAAACAAACAAACAAATAAAATAAAAGCATTCTGTTCATTTACAACTACAAAAAAATTAAAAAAAAAATCAGAGTAGAAATGGATGGAGAATCCCCTTCTCTATTCCATGAGTTTACCATTTCACCTCTCTTCAATTGAGTGAAATTTAAAAGCTGTAATTCATTCAACCATCTCATTTACTCATTTAATTGTAATCTAACAAGTGCCTCTTATATTCCAGGCCCTGAGCAGGGTGGGACATAGAATTCCTGGTAAGACATCAGAGGAGACTCCAGAAGACAGCTGGGGTTTACAAAAGAAAGTGGGCCACAGGCAGCACACTCTTACATTTTGTCAGATCCTGAAGAATTTGTCCTTGCTTCTTGGTCTTAAATTATAGGGGGGRAAAAAAAGCCTCACACCATTGGGAGGCAGTGTGTACACACAAACACCTGCATGCACAGAACAGTTAAAAACATGGACTTAATTATGAATCAGACCTGAGTTTGTTCTGCCACAACTAGCTATGTGACTCTGACGTACTTTACCTTTCTAACCCTTCGTTTCTCATTTGTAAAATGGGAGCGCACAAAAGGGAATTGTGAATATGAATAAGCTAAGGCATGATGGAACACTTTTAATACAGAGCATTGGCAACCTAGTGTCTATTTGACAAATGTTAGCTCTTGCCCTAATTGTTAGTTTTTTTTTTT